AGCATCTCTTTACTACGCTCCTGAGTTCGGCTCAGAACTTGTCTGGTGTCTTAACTGGTGATTAATTGTAACTTTCCTTTGACAAGATGTTGTTAATCCACAGAACACATCAAAGAAAAGTAGCGGCTTTCAAAATGAGTCCCCATACCGTGTAGTAGAATATTTAACTTAGAAATTGAATTGCAAGGGTAGTCTCCCCGTAGATTCATTGGTGAAACAGGGTTACTCCTGCTGGAGTCACCCTGGCAAGGCGTAGGGAGGTCTCTCCCTCTATGCTGAATATGAAAGTGGAGGCTAACCAGCTTCCTAATGTACGTGCTAATCAACATCAATGATGTATCAGAAATGGAGCAGCACCTGCTTTAAGGTGCTCTCCCCCTGCATCTTCAAGCTTTGGGAAAAAACCCCCAGTCTCTCCTGTGGCACTGCCCTGCACATGAGCACAGAAAAAGGCTGGTATATAGCCTGTGCTGTATCATCTGCTCTCCCCTCCCGTGAATACAGTCCCCCGGTTGGCTCTCTGAGGCATCCCTGACCTTGACACATTCAGGGATAGCCAGGCATGGACTCAAACCCCACGGTGTTGCGATAGGGATTTGAACTAGAGAGCGTGGGTCAGAATCAGACTGTTTCAAGAAAAAGAACAAACACTGTGTGAAGCTGCTACCAGCAAATCCTCTTTGTCCATAAACTGAAGTCTTCAGTTATAGGGGTTGCAGCACCTATAACTGGAGGGAGAGGCTCCCTCTAGCCCGCCATCAAACTACAATACAGACCTTCCTGAATCACTGTGCATAGGAGAAAGGACATCAAATGCAGAGCTGAGAAAGAACAAGGGGAAGTGAAAAGGCAGAGCAAAATTGCAAGGAATATTTACAGTAGGATAACAAAACAAGGTACAGGTAAATTTTCATTCAATTTTCCCCATTTTTGGCTCCATAAAGATATAAGAAATTCAGTCATTTTGCCTAGATAGCTTTGGAGGGGAGCTGAGACAGTTTCCTCGGTGTTTACCTGGGCAAACCACTATCAGACCTCAGAGGCAACCTTTTAACACCTTTTTCCACTGAGGATGAGAAAGCAGTATCAGTTGCTCCTGCTGACCCAGCACATCTGAAGTGGCAGCAGAAATCAGAAACATGAGAAGGGAGCTGTCCCAGTCAGGGGTGGTTGACAGCAATGCCAAGCCCTTTCTCCACTTTGACGTGTTTTCCAGGCGATGGCCAGCATGAGTGGGACAGGGAGGTGCCCTGCCTACCTCCCAGGGGACATGCACAGGTCTGGTGCTGCATTGATGCACCTGCCTCTGCATATTATAACCAGCACAGGGCACAGAGGTAGGGAGATGGAAACATGCTTATTTGTCACCTGCTGGCCACTAGCATGGGCACAGTGTGCAGCTGCCCCATCAGCACGTGGCACCTGAGGTGTGCAGGAAAGCCAGATGTGGAAAGGATGCAGGGGTAGTGTGGATGTGCCACCAGCGACAAGCACCCTCTGGACATTGCTCTCTGATGGGCCTTTTGCTCTGCTCACAGGGAAACCCACTCCAGCAAAGTCATGCTGTGGCATCTGCCTCCTGCTCTGCCTCTCGTGTGCCCTGTGCCACTTCACCAAGCCACAAAGTTTTTAGTCCCAAAGCCAAGGGCTGCTTGGGTAGCTCTGCTTTGTGACAGAGCCACTTGTGCCACTCTGGCAGAGCTGTCACCACTGAAAGGCAAGCCCTACCCGGGTTTTGCTCATTGTTTTTGGAGGAAATCTGCTTAAATGGAAACAGAAAGCAGTGGGAAGAGCTTTAAAGAGGGGAGTGGTTGGTTTGCAGGTGCATAAAAGCAGTTACTACAGAACTACAGAGCTGAGTCTGTTATCAGCCTGGGTAAAGGCTGGAATTGCATTTAAATGTGATAGTGTAGGAAGAAGTGAAATTTAGTTCCGAAACCAAGTTAGCACTATTACAGTCTGCATGTCTTCTCACGGGAAATGAGATTGTAGGTTCGTGTGTATAGTATTATTTTCTGCTAATAGTAAAATCTTCTCTGGTGTAACTAAGCTAAGATTGACAAGCTTCCTAAGTATGGGAATGCTTTAAAACAATTCAGTTTCCCTTTCTGTTTCAGAAAACAAGAAATGATATTAAAATACAAAATGTAAACCCAATGGAAAGGAGTATCTCTGTATTGATAAAGGGCAAAGTATAATAACAGAAGTGAGACCAGTCTGAATCTAGTACACCAGACACAATTACAAGGATTGTCTCTCTTCGGCTTTCTCTTCCAGGCTCCAAGAAAGAAGAATCAATTAGCTCTCTGCAGACTATGACCTTGAAGGATACAGCTTTAAGCAGAATATGCTGAGTAAGACAGAAAAGAGAGGAGAAGAGAAAAGGATTTGGAAAGTCATGGAAGGGCTAGGTTCAGAAACAGTACATCAACCACAGAATATCAAATGTGTCAGTTCTTTTTTGTTTCTGCACTGGAAAAAAAAAAAATCAGCACATAAGGGACCTTCTGGGAACAAGTTACCTCACCCTGACTGAAAAGAAGGGCACTGAGAAGCAAAAGAAGGGACAATCCAATTTGCAGATGCTACTTTTCAAGCCATGTCACTGAGAATTTTATAGCTGTCAAAGGCATTAAAAAAAAAAGTTAGCACTGATGCAATCTGTCAACCTCTCCAACAAATCTTGCTCTACATAAAACACAATGATGTGTTTGAAATGCAGCTGTTTCAAAAACCCCAAGACAGTGCTTTTAGAGCTGTCCAAAAAGTTCTTTTTATGCCTCTTGGAATTCTTTAGCAGATCTTCTGCAGTGTATTTTTCCAGCTATATTTTCTTATTTTTCTTTGCAGAGAATTACAGCTGCTTGCCATAGTCAGAACTATGTGCCACAGTTAGAATAAATTCTGTCTACACAACCTTCTCCCTCAGAGCAACCCAAACTTGACCTGCTGCCAGTTCTCCCTCTCCTTTCAGTCTGTAGCTATCAGAAGACTATGATGCCTTAATACATGTTTATCTTTAGAAAATTATAGCAACAGTAAAAAAACCAGCAATCAACTCCCCCAAATCAAACAAATACCCCTGCCCTCCCCCTCCCACAGCTACACACAAAAAAAAATCCCAACCCAAAACTTAAAACCCCCTTCAACCCAATCACCTAGCTTCTGGACAAACTTTTATTTCCCAGATGTTAGCAGATCTGAATGCAGATAATGGCATTTTGTCAGTTACTGCTCCAAAGAATCTTACACCCCACCTCATCCTTCCTTTCCTTTAAAGATGAAGTTAGCATTTATTGATAAAGGTTTGCTTTGTATGTGAAAATTCAAGAGGAATTCTCGAGGCAATTTTGACTGTATAGTGGTCTCTTGTCACTTTATGAAGTAAAAATGCTGTCATATATTTAATGTCACAATATTTGCCCTACAAAAAAGATTCTATGCGTCAGCAATATTAAAAAAAAAAAGCACAAACCAAAACATTTAGAATAGTACTAAATAATTGCAAAGGTGGTTAGTTCAAGTAATATCACAGACAAAGCCCCCTGTCATTTAACAGTACAGCAATATTTCCCCATTAGAACTGTTTCCATCAGACAAGTTACTTTTAACCCAAAGGATGGTTACCACCATTATCTAAGCAAAAAGAAGTAGGGTTTTTACAGGAATACTCAGGACTTTCTTTCAGTGATTCTGAAACTGCTGTTCAAGACTGACTCCCAGCTGGAAGGACCTTCTCTGAAATCACTGTAGTTATGCTAGCAAGGGGTTGGCCCAAAATGTTAGATCTAATCCAAATGCCACGTAGCTATACTAGGTCCAGTGCTAGTGGGGCTAAACTTAACTTAGCAGTGAACTTCTGGTGACTTCAGGGCTGCAGGGTGAGGTCCAGTATGTACCATCTACAAGGTGACCAACCTGAATCATCACGGGAAGGCACGTAGGGAGAATAAAACACATTGGGTCCTGCAAGGAAATTTGTGAGGAATGCAATTGTGCACTCTGATCACTGCAGCTTTCCAAAGGAAACCTCAGCCCTGTGCTCTCAGCATGACGGTTGCGCTGCCTTCTCTTTTACTGGAGTTGCACAATTTTACACAACTCAGGAGCTGCTGGCTTGATCTGCTCTGGATTTGGTGGGTTAAAGTTATGAATGTCAAAGAAATGACACTTCAGCAATGCAGCATTTTGATGCTTTACAGCTGCTACTGAGAAAAAAAAAAACAATACAGGTGCCCTGGATGTTTTGTGCTTCTAGGATGAGCAAAGTCTAACTCAGAAATTGATTCCTCCTGCATTGGCAAGAAGGCTTTCCTGAAATGCCCCACAAAAGGCAAAAAAGCAGTATGTGAGAAGCAGTTGCAAAAAGAATCAGCTCCCAGAGATGGGAAAAGACACGGAGAAATGTGTGCTTTGCTCTTAAGAGAAAGATCACAAGCTAGATGCTAAATTAATAATTCCTGGTTTCTAACTGCTTCAAATACGCTGTCACTTTTTCTCACTGGTCTGAGCGTTTCAGGAGGATGATAGGGATGTTTGCCAGCAACAGATTTCAGGAAGGATGTACCAGAAGTGCTCTGCAGGCAAGGCAAAGAAAATGAACATACATGGAAGATCCAGCACAGGACGCAAATCGAATTTCTAAGAAAAACAGACCATGTGGAATAGCTATCAGATAAACAGTAAATCGTATATTTCCCATATATTTCCCTACAAGTGGATGCAGAGAAAAGGGTGGTATTAACCCTTCACAGAGATCCCAGATGAAGCCCTCTTTACCTTGCACAGTTCAGAACTAAGTGCAGAGGACTCTAGATGCTCTCCTCAGAAGGTAACCCATGCTATACCTGTCTTAGCACACTTAAGCTTTCCATGCCAATCACATGCCCTCCTTGTGGACGGTTGCAGAATGTTTAAGTGGCTTTTTTTTCTTTTTTTCCTTTTTTTGGTGTAAGGGGAAAAAAAAAAAACAACTGAAGAAGCACACAGCTTTTACTTACAAAGTTTTGGAGTGGTTTGGAGGTTGGTTTCTGTTGCTTGTGCCTGAGACGCTGTGGTAGGCTCCAGGGCGGGTGGTGACAGCGAAGGAGCAGCAGAGGACAACAACCCAACATCTAGGACGCGGTTATACAGAGAAGGCTGGAGGAATGGTTTGGAGGGCACAAGTGAGCTGTCACTTTGCACTGTCACTTCAGCCTTGCTCTTGGGGCTAGGTACGAGGAACGGTGAGGCATAAACCTCCGAAGGCACCCAGGCAGACAGAGCTGTAGGATCCACAGCGCTCTTTGGGTCTTGTCCTATCCTCCCAGGGTCAAGGTGGGTAGGAGAGTCATACTCAAAAATCTTGTCCACAAAGACCCACTTGAGGCCAGCAATGCAGAGGCAAAGGCTAAGCAGGCAAGCCAGGATAGGGGCGATGCAGATCTTTTCAGAGTTGAGGCAGCCCTTCAGTCGCTCTGCCTCCAGGCACGCACAGCAGGTTGCGGCAAGGCCTGCTATCCCCTGGACCCTCCTGTCCTCTCTTTGGGTCCCCGGCATGTTCTCCTCATCTGGGAGCCCGTTGAGGGATGCATCAGGGCTCAGCTGAGCTGAGGGGCTGGGGAAAGTGTCGGCAGCTACTTCAGACATGTTTAAACATCAGCTCTCAAACAGTTCACCTCCAAAAGGCCTTAACTCTATCACAGTCCATTACTGTGAGACACAGACAAAAAGAGATGGTAGTAATAGTCACAGTGCTCTGCAAAAATCAGAGTGGGAGTCAATAAAAGGTCCAAGCTCAGCAACGTCATCCAAACTGGGAGAGGAGTAACACACAGGAAAAATCAGATGCCCCCCGGTCCCCCTGCCCCCAAGCCCTCTGTCACTCTCTCTGCTTCTCTGAAGCGAGAACAGTTTTGCAATTACTGAGCTCCTGTTTGCTAGCCACTTTTATAATTCCTTAAATGCCTCTCAAGCAATTTCAGTTCTTCTGAAGGAGGGAAGAAACATTCCCCCAAAAGCAAGCACAACAAAACAAAACAGCGGGAAGGAGGGTGATGAGATAAAGGAAACCACAAACACTGAACAAACTGACCAGATTAAGTGAACCAGTAGCCCAGAGCGAAAGGTAAGACTCTCACCTTGAGCATCTGAGGCTGGTATCTGCTTAGACGAGGAAAACAATTGTCATGCGGTAGAAGGAGCAAAAGCAAAATCTGTAACAACAGCGGCAGCGGCAGAAGTGACAGTAGCAGCAGCATCCTGTCGTGTTACAGCGGCGGCTGAAAGAGGCTGAATCATTACAGAGCAGCAGGTGCTCGCTGTCTGAGCATCACTGCAAACAATATCATTACACAGAGGTTTGAAAGGAAGAGCGATGCCAAGACGGTGGTAACTCCCTTTCTCTCCCCTCCCTCTTTGTCCTTCTTAAGCGCTCATTCACTTTCCTCCGTTCCCCCCCCCCCCCCCCCCCCCCCCCCCCCCCCCCCCCCCCCCCCCCCCCCCCCCCCCCCC